GGGCTTTCGGATTAAGTGGAGAAATGGTTTTGAATGGATCAGTCAAGACAGCAATAATTGCCATGAGGCTTAATGTAGCTTGTGCAGAAAATGTTTCTAAATTGCTTATGGTGGATTGTCAGATGTAAGAGCAGACAAATTGAGCAGATTGCGAAAATAATCCCAGCACAGCTTCCAACAACAGAAGTTAAACTTTTTTTGTTGTTGTTGCTAAGAAATGTGAAATTGTAAGAAACAGTAATACCAATTGATGGAAAAACAACAAAAGCGTACAGTATCGTTAGCTATAGTCATTCATTGTGTATCATCCGATTAAGAGAACTTGCTGAGTTGTAGTTTCCAAGACTTGCCCTTAGATGAAATGATACATCTTGGCAGGAAAGGTCTTCTGTATTGACAAGTGCATAGCGAAGCTCTTTGTAAATTGAGAAAACAGTTTTTGAAACTTTGCTGAAAAGAGCATATTTTTCCCTTTGCTCACTGGAGCCTCAAATCTTACTAAAATGCTTCCAAAGGTTTTTCATTATCTGAAAGGGGACTTATCAGCTGCTTGCCCGAGTATCTGCAACATTGTAATGAAGCCATGTTAGGAGTATCTGTAAAAACAATAAGCTATATTACAAACAAATTATTTGAATTTCAATAATATCCTGATTTAGAGATGCTAGTATTAACACCGTATATTAATGCTAGTATATACTCTCTAAAAACTAATGAGAGTAAGTAAAGCAAAAAATGAGAATGAATGACTGCTTCTGGCTAACTGTTGAAATCATATATATTGCATGTAGAGCAAGGGCCATTAAGGGATGATCATTTAATCTTGAGGGTTATGCATAGCTTTCAGTCACTTAGGGATTTTAATCATCCGTCAAAATGTCAGAATTACAAACTTTTGTCAGCCATCAATTCATGGGAACGATGAGGCATGCCTTCGCATGACAGTTTCTCTCTATACCCTAAAGTCGAAAGATCTTAAAATGTTTTCCAGCTCATAGAAGTTATTTTTGTGCAGTAGTTAAGAATTGCTCAATTGCAATGCTTAAATTCTTTAAGGATGAGAAAGTGATGAAGGAAAGATGTTTTCAGTGACTGAACACTCCTTATCTTCATCTCATGCTGTGCTAAAAGTTTGACTGCTCTAATTTTAAAGCTATCTAATCTTTTATGTGCTAAAGCACATGAAATCATGCATTATTGGAAATATGAATTACAAGAAGTGTTCATTTACATGGTGCTACATATAACCTTTATCTAAAACGCATTGTCATTTTAAAAAATCACTTAGTGATAGTCTCTGGTTCTCAAATAAACTTTTCTTTCGGAGAACAAAATTGCTTCAACCTGATTGAGATACTTTACTTGGGAAAACAGCGAATTTTTTGAGAAAGTCCATAAACATTAGGGCATGTTTTGATGCTTGAAAATGACTTGGATATGAGTCTTGTGCATAAAGGATGTTCTTCACTGGGAGATCCATTCAAGTGAGCGTGCAGGCCTCAGGAGACTCGCGCTGGCAAACAGTCACATATCCTTTCTTTAGAAATGTGAGGTTTTCAATTTCTTAGAACATGTGGATTGTGTTACATTCATTTCACTGTTGCATCCAAGGCATGGATGAATATTTTCTTTGTATACACGTAGCTGGAAAGGTTGCAGAAATCTAGAAAAGACAAACTCTGCTTAAGGTTGAGCTTCCAACTGAAAGCAATTTTAATTCTAGAAGCAAGAACTTTTTATCAATTGATTTCTTTAAGATGTACTTAAATGTACTAAAATGATGCTTATCTGTTTGCCAATACACTGAAGCTTATCACAGTGGAATGCTTCACTTGAGAGCAGTGGAAATTTCCACCTTAGAGAATAGCACACGATACTCGAAAGGCAAAACAGTGTTTCCCTAAAATGTCCTCTAAAATAAAGTTCCCAATTTCTACTCAGAAAGGTGGCCAACCTGCTTGAGAATGGTTCGTTCAGGATTGATTATTTGTTCCACAAAATCGAAATAAAGTGCGAGCCTGCACCAAGGCTTTAGTTTAGTCACAGGACTTGGGGTTTTGTTTTTTGTTTTCAAGTGTCACTAAATCTTTCTCCCTGCTCCTCCACTGCGAGATTAATTATTTTCCGTGCAAGGGCTCTTCTTTCAAAGTCTTCCATTATTCTGTTTTGGCCATAGTGGGGAACTTATCCAAGTCAACAGAAAGGCAGCCTTTATCACGAGAGGCTGCTCATGAAGTGGATGGTTTCATACATTACTGTGGGAGAATTGCCTTAACATAGCCTATTCACGCTGATGTGCCAGGTGCATCCACTTACGCAGCTCAAAACGCTGCTACCACCACATCCTCCGCTGCCAAGGCCATTATGTGCTCTGAGTGATGGAGCAAGAGGCAGGACTTAGATCTTCTCTGCTGGGAAGTGGAGGGAGAGAGACCAATCTTTGTGCCTTGGAAAAAAAAAACAAAAAACTGCCGTAGAGAGCCTTTTAACTCTCTGTTGCTCTGCGCTGATGGAGCTTCGGAAGATGGGGAGGGAAATAGCAGGAGCTTAGAGCAAGGCTCTGCTCTGCATCGCTGCCCCGAGATGCTGTAAAGAGGACAAAGGGAAACTCGGATATAAATAGAGAATGACATTTTCCTTGCATTGTCCACAATGAATACATTTGTACACGAACAAAATCATTGGAACGAGACAGCATGCATGCTTGCTGCTGAAGAAAAGCCTGTTTGTGCTTAGTACATTGGAGACATTGTTCGAAAATAGTTCATCCTTTTGTAAATATTGCCTCTGCATTGGTGCCAGGGTTGCTGTTGGTTTGTGCTATCAGCTGAGTAAGTATCAGTCATGCACGTGCTGCGGGGAGAAATTTTAATGCGGGCACTGGCTTTAAATGGAGCAAATTATCCTCCTAAGGACTGTCCTGTTCATTTTTAGTTAATGCAGCTTGCTCTCCCCCGTTCTTGTTTCTTCCAGGCTTACCCTGTTTTCTTGCATATAAAGTAGGGACTGTTGTGTGTGAGCAACTGAGAAAACAAATGCTCTTCCCCTTCTCTGTAGAAGTTATACAACAGCTCTAAAACAAGGCGGGGGGGGGGGGGGGGGGCAAGCCACAGGGGGAAAGAAAAGGGTATTTAATTCGTGTCACCAGGAGATGAAACTTGCCCCAGCCTTCAGGTGCTGCTGGTACGTGCACAGATGAGTAGAGAGCTTTTTTTCAGGCCAAATCCTGGAAATGTTGCCTCTGCTTTTCATCTGTAAAGATACGGCTACAGCGGCTTAGGCTGTGTGCTCTGCCTGCGCGAAGTGGCCTAATTCTGCCGCTGCCAGCGGAGCAGCACCACGCTGGAGACTTTGGCTCTTTGGTTTGTTTGCTTGCTTGCTGGAAGGACATGCAGGTGGCAACGTTTCTTTTTCCACAAGTGTTGAGATTCCATTAAAACAAATACTTCTGTGAGATGCAAAATCAAATCTATGAAATGAAGAAAGTATGTCCTGCACCCAGTGAAAGCCTTCTTGTATCCCCGGTGCTAAATCAGATCTGATGGATAAGACAGGTTTGTATTCATCCCCCAAACCAGCTTTTGGGCATACAATATAGGGAAAGATCAGAGTTCATTAACACACTGAGATAATGAACCCAAACTTGCCTTTAAGTATGCTCGTGCGGCTCCATTGTTGATAGTGAGAAGGAACCAGCTGCAAATGAGACCGAATTAAACCATTAAATAAATAAATAAATAAATAAACTAACAACCTTCCTGTGCTGTATGGCATCAAAACACTCGTAACCTGAACAAATCGTGCAGCCTGCCTTCAGTCAATGGACAAAATGGGCTTTCCAGAGCACAACCAACGCGACCCGTTTCGGGTCGCTCGTTCAGCCCGGGATGACCTGTGCTATAGCAGTGCCTCTTCCCCTCTCACAAACGGGATTTCAGACAAGAGGCATGTGCTGTAGATGCTTAAAGACGAGGTGAATGCAAAGTTTTTTTGTTAGCAGAGCTGTACTAACAGATTTTAGCGCTAGCCCTGGATTAATGTGTTAAAAAATGAGGGCAACGCAAGAGCTGTTGCTGCGAACAAGGATGCATCTGTTGGGATTTAACAGACAGTGGTTAGTCTGGGAGGTAATTCTCACTGCTATGCTATTCATCCAAAAAGCATTTCACCACCGTGTTGGTTTTGGCAACCCAGAAAGCTTGCAGGTGTGGGGGAGCGTGCAGGATTCGGTGTCGGTCTGCTCCTCGGCTGTGCCAGATGAGATCTGGTTTCAGAGAAAGCCTTTGGACATGAGCAGTCTTTGAGCAACCCCTGGCAGATGAGGCTTGGCTCTAGGTGGACCTGTCCTCTTCTTAAATCCCGGTATCCATACCCAGCAGGATGGATCTGTCTTGATTACGAAGCTCTTCCTCTGTGCTATGGTCAGCGATGCTACAAATTATGAAACCTGTTCTTCATCCAGCACGTGTGTAAGAACCAACGTGGCACCCTTCAGACCAGGCCTCCGGACTCTGCAATCCGTGCAGAAACAGCCGTGTTGTATTAGTGCCTTTATGAATGCACCACAATTGCAGTCGCTTAACTGGTTCCTTGTCATTGCAGTAATAAAGATTTCACATGCTGATGTCTTCTTAAAAAAAGGAAAATAATCTATAGGTTGAAGATGAATGTCCAAAGACTGTACTAATTAATTTATGGAGAATTTACTTCATACCTGATAATATGATTGATTGGAAATTAGTCCATCATTTGTTGCTTCAGGCATTCCTGATAAATAACTTAATGCAGTTAGTTTTCATGCCATCTTAACGCACATTTCCTTGGTCTGCCATTCAGGAGCTATTTGGAGCATGTGAAATAGTAGATAATTGTCTGCAAAACTGTTGCACCCATATTTTTTTTTTTGTTTGGAATCGTATGTGCATGATTTTCATGCATGTAGTAGTCAATTACCAGTTATATTAAGTACAGAATTAAAAAATAAATAAAAAAGCAAGACATTAAAGTTCTTAATTCAGTCTTTTTTATTATTAATCAAAAGCTTTGTGGTTACATTGTACAAGTGTGACAAATGTGGGGCTTTTTATTTTATTTTTATTTTTTTTCCATATGAGTTACACTTACATGAAGTACACAGTTGGGAAGGCTGCACTAAGCCAACTCCACAGCCCAAACTGCTTTCATGTGAGTTTCCAACAACTTCGGCCCTCGTTTCAGTGTGGCTGTCTGCATGTTTTGCAGTGCTGCAATGAGGCCAGGATTCCACTGACGTTTCAATCATTTAAAAAGAACACGGAAATCTGTTTAACAAAGGGAACCAAAATGCTTTAGTAGTGAACTGAGGTTGACTAGAAATGGGAATTTCAATGAAACCCAAAATCCGATTCTGTAGCATACGTTGCCGTGTTTGACCTTCATATATGGTAGAACTCAGTGAACTTCTCAGGTTCTGTAAGAAACTCAAAAGAATCACAAAAATAAAGATGGGGATAATCATACTCCTGTCAAAGGTACTTCAGCAAACAGAAGATCATAAAGTTGACATTGTAGAAGTAGCGACTGATCCCTCCGAGAAGTAGAGGGCTGAGTAGTCAAGGAGACGGCAGACATCCTAGGTTAGTATTTCCTTCCTCCCTGGATGCAACTCTGCAGCAGGTATAAAGCCTTGCCCTTGTCCTATATTTCTGCTGAGTACATGTGGAAGTTTATCTGTAACTTTATGGGATGGAATGACAACAAAAATAGCGCAATACAATGGAGTTATTTCAAAATACAGTTCCTCTCAGTATTGAGTAGTTACTTGCTAGAACATAAACATGGAGTTAAATACAAATATTCAAGATTGCCTACAAGAGAACGCCCTACCTTAAGCCTTGAGAGTGATTTAAAGCAAGCAATTTTGTTAATAGGATTCTAGCAGGAGCCTATACTACGAGCTTTTACCACTGTCTTTAGATGACAATTTGCCATCGTAAACCTAATGTATTATTTATTCTAATTTGCTTTTATCATCCAGGTGTCCCCCTTCAAACCAGGGACCTTTGTTCCAGGCACTGTAAAAATTCATTAGAAATGTGCCTGGAGAGATTAAGATGAGTATCTGGCTACATCTTGGCCTTGATTGCAAAGGAGCACACTGTCAAGCCTCTTAATAACGTATTTACTGATGTTCAACTAGATGCTAGAGAACAAAATTGATCATTGTGCTTAAAAATGCTTGCTGCTGCCTTACAGCGGTGAAAAATGTTAGCATTCATCATACATATGGCAGACCTGTTGGCAGAACACCAGTTCCACAATCACTCTTCGTGTCCTGTGAAGGATCTGCTTTCTCGCTGGCCTCAGTTTTCCACAGGTACCTGAGCGGCACAGGAGAGAAAAGCTGTGGGTCGGAGAGGGAGAGCTCTTTGGGGCAAAGGGAGTTTGTAATGCAACCCTAAATAGAACAGAAAGAGAATAGGAAGATCATCGCAAAGCTCTACCAGGGCAAATAATCCTATTCACTAGACCTAAGAGGACTTGGTCTTGATTTAAATGCAGTTTCTGTGAATATTATTCCAATTGAGAAGCTGTTCTTAGAGCAACCTTACTCTCAGAACTAAAACCCACCTAGTTTCAATTTTACTCATTGTTATGCTGCCTGAGTAGCAACTAGCTCTTTTCCCATCTTTGTTTACCTCTCACGCGTTTTTTTTTAAAACCATCCCCTCTTTCTTTTACTAGGTTAATGAATGTAATCCTTTTAAACAACTTCTCACAAAACAACCTCCTTGTTGTCCTGAGCAGCTCTTTCTACTTCTGGCCGTTTCCCATTTCCTGAGCACAGGTGACCAGAACAAGATGCTGCCGCAGATGAGATGTGGTCAGGAAAGCTGCGGTTGTACTGGAAACCCCTCATTTGTTATAAGCAAGACCTGTGTTTGCTTCTTTCCCAGCTGCATCACACCAGTGGCCTACGGGTCATCCCATGACCTTCTCAGACATTCATGTCCATGTTGTAGAGTCCAGCTCGTGATCTCCCATCTGTAGCTGAAACACTTACTAGTTCCTTAGTGTGCTTTTTAAATACATTTACCTGCTTTTATTACACAGCCGTCCACTCACAATGGACTGACAGCAACTCGCACCTCATGTGCTGTTGGCAGATTTCAGCAGTGCAGCTGATGCTGTTCGTGAGGGTCATTAATCACAGCACTAACTAACCCTGATCATCAAGGAACTCCTGATTGCCTCATCTAGGAAACCATGTCAACAGCCTGCCACCACATCTTTTACCCAGTGTTTTGCATGTGCGTGTCGCAGTTCTGGTGGTAAGGCTCTCTCCTGCTGACTAACGATTTTCAGCGTGCCACTGCAACAACAGCTTCACAATTATTAATAGATGTGATCTGGAAGGATAACAGAGGGGAAGACGGGTGCAAATAAGGGTCAGAGCATTTCAAGGTAACTTAAGGTTTTTAGAAGTTGTCTTTTAACTTGAAGCAACCTTACTGAAGCTGTTTAGTTCTGCTCATTTTCTTTTTAAGACTTTATAAAATTGTCAAGATATGATTAGCCCTCAGCTAGCCTAGAAGTACAAAAATCCTGGAATAGCAAATGGCAGGATTTAGAGGCTCTGATTTTTGTGGCCTTCTCAGTTACATTCTAAAAACTCCAGGAAAATCCATTACTTCAACAACATCTCTGTGAATCACTTACATGGGGGTGAAATGACAAAAAAAAAAAAAAAAATTAGTTCTGTTCCCACTTTCTTAATTCCTGAGTGGGAAAATTTTTAGATTGGTCTTTGGATCCAAGTAGAAAAGCAGCCAACTCAAATAGGATTTTAAAAACAAGCAGAGCTGCTGATTAAAATATTGGAAAAAAATGGGACCACCCACCAAGAAATCAGACACAAGGAAGCACAGGAATAGGAAGCAAGGAATGGAATAAATGGAAAATTAAAAAAATGCCATAAAGCTTTCCTAAGAGTAGATTATGCCACAATAGCCACACACACACAAAAAAAAACAAAAAACAGATAAATTAAAACAAAAACAACATCAACAAGAAAAAACACAAAACACCACTTTTCTAAATCAAGGAAATGAGTAAGCCTCATCTTACTGGAATTCAGGAAAATATTTGCTAGTACACTACTTGAAAAACAAACGAACAAACAACAACAAAAAAAACACAACCAACCAACCAAACAAAAAAGAATTAAGCTAAGGAAGACAGCAATTACTAAATAAACTCTGAATATAAGCCTGCGAAGTTGTTTTGAAGGGGAACTCTCAGGCTAAGGAAAGGTTACTAGTGGACTTACTTACAGAACAATCCCAGACAGATTGTATTAATTATTTTTGTGGAGTACCTTAACCAAGGAATTAAGCATACGATCAGCTGATGACACCAAGCTGGGATACTGTTAGCACAAAGGAGGACTGAAATTTCATGTAACAAAGGGCACAAAATTCATTTTACATGATGGGCTTGATTCAATATCCTGGAACCTGGCACACACCGAACTGAGCAAAAGCTCTCAGGTATGGTATTTTCACCATAAAGATAAACCCCACTGGTCACGTTTCTTAGCTGTGCTGCAGGCACAGAAATGTATCAAATAAAATTGCTCGAAAAAATGCCACAAGAAAAATTTCATACAGCAAGTTACATGGGAAGACAAAGAGAGGCAAGAAAAACTGTTTTTTATTTGTTTAATTAGAGACAATCATAACGTTACTTAACTTGCAGAAACACAACAACCCAAATCCTCCAGCATAATCTAATTCTTGTTTTTACAAGTTATTTGTGAGTGCCACTCAGCCCTTGTGCATCCTGATCTCCCTTCAATCTTACAGACATAATCTGCAAACTGGAGATTAAACTACTAGATCAATAGAAGCAATACAATGTGACACTAAGTCTGCCTCTGTTGATCCTGGAAAAATACTTCCAAATTTGGTCTCTTGCTCCCAGAGCTGTCAAATGAAGCCAGTGTAGGACACTAAGTCAGGAGCAGTGTACTTCTTTCTGAAAACTTACCTGGAATAACATCCTGTGATGTGCTTGAGGTATTGCAATACTCAAGAGAACTCTGTTTCATGAGCCAGGCTGGTTCATCTCTAGTCCTGCACCATATCAGGTGCGTGCACCAGCTCACGTCTATAGTCGTGCAAAGCGTAGAGATTCCTGAACAAATCTGGGCATGCCAGAAAACTCACAGGAAGCCTGGGGCTTGGATGAAACTGATGACACCCTTCTTGTAAAAAGCTTTTTGACACCCTTCTCATGCAATGCCATTGTAATAGTGTAAAGGTCAAGGTCATAACCTTGGAATGAGTAACAAGAACTTTACTATCAGCATCCGTAAAAAAAAGGTAAGCTAGGTGTCTCATTAAATCCTCAAGGCTTGTGAGATATTGGTAGCATGCAGCTCTGCAAAGAATCAAAAAAGTTAAAATATCAAAATATTAGCTGCTGTATTTCTAGCAGGGCTAGGAAGGTGTTAATGCCACCACGAAAGGTCCTGATGAGATCTTACCTGGAATACTGTGCATGCTTCTAATCCAGCATGTTGATAAAAGATTTACTGAAGTGGAAAAGGTACAAAGAAAGGTTAGAAAAATGGCTGGGGAAAAGGCATCCTCTTCTGTGACAGGTATAGCACAGTTATTTTGGCAGAACCAAGGCTGAGTAGGTTTGGGGAGTAATCTATGAAAAGCAAGTAATCCATGAAAGCTCAAGAGGTGACAGATTGGAAGGGACTTTTTACTTAGGGAGAGAGAAAGGCTATTTAAACTGAAGTCAAAGACGTTTACAGAACATGAGGGTGTCAGCTGGCTTTGACTACACGTTATTAGAAATCTTTAACCATTTAGAGGAATGGAAATTAGGAGCAACCTTACGACAAGGGTACTTTCAAGATGGAGTTCGATACCTCTGCAAATAACTTGCATGGCACAACATGGCTGTCCACAACAGCTGGGATCAGAGCCAATGGCGGAGGAGGTCTTCCCCAGTCTTCTCTATGTCAGGATCAGAACCGAGTCTGAAAGCTTTGAATTTCCACATGCATATCAAATTAACACATTTGCCACCAGCCAGTTTATCACCACCTGCTATCTTGCATTCAATTGTGTTACACAAGAGTGTAAATTAACGTGAAGTGCAATTCTCATAATTATTATAGTTGGGGAACAAATGGGGCTGCGCATATGCAAGTATCTAATTAGTCATGTAGTGGTTGCATGTATGTGGAAATACCCTGTTTGACTACGAAATCACACTGAAAGCTTCGCCTTATACAACGATGCCTGTAGTTGCTACTCTTGCATAAGGAGAATTAGGCCTTCTGTTTTAATAATGCTGCACCATTCCGTTCGATTCTGAGCCCTTAATCTTGCATCACAATACAGCATTCCTGTAGCAACAAATCCTGGTGTAGTTTTCAAATTTTCCATTTTGTAAGATGCCAGTTCCTGGCTTGAGCTAAATGGATACAGTGGACTACCTTGACACAAAATTAGATTAATCTTAACTGAAAAGAATCCCAGCGTAGCTGTAATAGTAAAAAGAATATGACTTTATCTACTCAGGCATTTTAGTTTTCAGTCTTCTTTTCTCACGAGAGCTCTATAGCCTTAGTATGTCACAAGTAGTTTCACCAGCTCTGTTTGTTTTAGACTGAGACAACTTGGCCTTATTAGCTCCTTCTATCCCCTCCAGTTTTGGTGGGGTCCCAAGTGCCTCCTTAGTTATATTGCAAAAGGAAATCCTCAGAAACCACATAAAGCCCTAAAAAAGCTGAGGGCAAAATTGAGTGGATCTCTGCTCTCCTTGGCAGCATCCTCCCCTTGTGCAGTGCTGCCGTGGGTGTCAACGGAAGCTCTGCGAAGAGAAATGAGAATCACAGGCCACAGGTTGACCAGCTCTCCACGGCAGAAAGGCCACACTCGTTCCTATATCCTTTTCTGTAGCTGCTGTATGCTTACAGGAGAGTGTTGCTGGGATTTCTAGGACAGAATGTCATCACTGCAGCACTTCTGTAATTTGCAGACAATGGACTATGAAATAGAAATGTAGTTCAGAGGACCAGGCATAGGATGAGGTCACGCTGTCTAAGGCTGGCAAGATACTTGCCTTTCTACTCAATTTGTAGGGGCACCTGCTTGTTTCTGAATTATTACTGCTTCTTTTAGGTTTGTGTTTTTACTTAGATCTTTTCTCCAGGAAATGAGAATTTATTTTGCTTATATATAGTAATTAGGATTGCTCCTAATTAATAATTCATTTTAACATTTTATTTCCTTCCCCCTCTCCCAGAACAGACATTTAAATAGTTCTGTACGTGCACATACGCATACCCCATCACATTTATTTCAGCATAAGCATGAATACCGTGAACCAAAAGTTTGGCATCCCTACGACTGTGAAGGCTGACTGCCACCTATGGGCAGCAGCTCATGTTAGCATATTTAGATAAAATTTTAATATTATTCTTTGTAATTAATTCAATTTGTAATTATTTTAGCAGGACAGAGTTTCAATTCATTTGCTACACACTTTTTCCACAGCAACCATTTAACATCCTCGGAAAGCTGAATAAAAAAAACATCGCTTTTATGAAGGAGCATCAGCTTTACGGTGAGTAAAACAAAAATGGGGTAGGATGTTCTTATTTTTATTATTCTGACTAAGGAATAAATAGAAGTACCCTGTTTCTCCAAGCAAAGAAGTGAGACTCAAAGGCACACAGCCAGGTACATCACACTAGATAATGCTGTATTTAATAATTACTGTAATTTTAAAGGTTAGCTATCTCGAGGTTTTAGTATTTTGTTTACTGCCTTCTTTTACTGAATTCATACAAATAGCTTAGTTGTGCAGTCTCATGAAAGTGTGTGTATCATTAGTATGCCATAGTAATTTTCTAACTGAAAATGTTCATTTTTCAGAGAAAAATGAAGGCTAATGTGGGGGAAGGGAAAGAAGAGTATAAAAATGTATGGCTTGATTATGTAAGCCTTGATTTTTCTGATAATCGGTCTGGTCAACATTTACTTAGAAAACTAAAAAAGGAAGTGCAGCCTGAAATGCCAAATTTATTGTATTAAAAATAGCGTTACCAAGTCAGTTTTCAGGCACTTACAAGCAAAAAGGCTGTCAATTCTGACTATCTGGTTACAAAAGAGAAAAATGCTAGATTACAGCTACTACACTGTAGTGAGCTGCATAAAGTGAGTATCCTCATTCTCAGAAATAACGTATGTAAAAATTGCTGGAAATCTAGCAAATTAAGGCATGTATTTTTGTTTGAGGAAAAAAAATCATTTTGCTCCGATAAGCAGAAGTTGATTGTAGCCATTATGTTTTTCCCTTTTGGGGCAGGAGCATAGAATTTAAGAGGGAGGAGAGACAGGAAGAAACTTACAAAAGGGAAAATCGTATTAAAAGAGATAGCAACTAATAAGGAACTAAGAATGAGTTTGATACTCATTTTTTAAAATTCCCTTTTTGAACTAATCTGAGTCCTGGGCCTTCCCATTTGTGTTCTATTTTATTAAATATGATAATCAACCCATCTCAAAAAAGGGAAAAAAATGTGCTAGTGCTTATCTTGTTTGTTTTCTCTAAGTTTAATTACTAAATGTATGTAATAAATTTATGAAATATTGTAAAAGCAGTATATGCCACTTCAACATCAGACATGATCACATCAACGTTTCCTGATTAGGTGCCCTTTATAATCTATAGAATTCAAGCATTTATGGTAAAATATTTGTGCTTAGGAGACAAAAGCATTTTGTAACTGAAGTAACTATGTTCTACACCAATTTAATTCTGATACATTTTGCCTCTTAATACTGAATTAAGACACTGCCAAAATAGCATTCTCCAATTTACTTTCTTGCGTGTGTCCGTAGCATTTCCCTGTATTTTCAAATGACAGTTTAAACTTAACCTACTTCGTCTCCGTGGATGAAAACTTTGCATCAGACATAAATTACTCCTTGGTATGTTTGATGAATCCAGCTTAAAACAAAACACGGAACTGCACGAACATCTGTGACAAATGACTCGTCTCAGCTATTCTGTTCTTTCTTATTTAATCTCCCACTCGAGCACAATTTTGTAGGTATACCATTTTGTAGTGCAGACCTCTTCCCCAACCTACTGTTTACAAAAGGAATAAAAAATATTATTTTCCACATGTTGTACCAAAAACTGAATAGAACATAGTTGGACCTTTTAAAATTATTACTACTAGAAGGGAAATAAGCAAATAATCTAGAGCCCCAAATTTTCAAGAGCAACAAAAGGGAAAAAAAAAAAGTAAAAATGCAATATAGGATTGTTAAATGAATAGATCAACAGCATATGAAACAGAACCCTCCTTTTCTGGTGACACTACACTGAATTACTACTTGCTTACTTATACAACTATAAACCCAGAGCAGAATTTTTCTTTATGTAGTCAGTTTTATGAATATTGAGATATTCCTATTTCAGTATCTTTAAAACCGAGGCCTTGTTAAAGGAGAGGCTACTTGGAAAGATCTCTATGATATCGGCAAATGCAGCTACGTTTCTCCTGATTTTCTTCCACAACTGATCTATGCTTGATAGAGGGAAAAAAAATAAATACCAGGCAATGCACCTAATTCTTTAAAGTGCTTGTTGTTAATTTTATGCCTTTCCAAAACAAGGAAAATTCCACTTCCCAAGTAAAGAGACAGAACATCGAAAAATCCTAGCTCTAAAAATGAGTCTTTCTGCTCTTTACAGATGTCTCATCAATTTCATTTGAATGCTGCTTATACTGTGTAATGCAGATTTTACTTTACGTAACCCATATAGGCACTAAGTAATATTATTTGGTATCTTTTAACTTTGTTAAAATTGGTCGTGGATTTTTACTATCCTAGGTATTTTTTCAGTACTTAGCTATGTGTCTGCATTTTTTGACGGACTTTCAAAAATATTCTTCTGTTCTGGTCTATTCCACTTGTGTTTTGACACTGCAGAAGTGTATTCAGATACTCGTAATATGCTTATAGATGCAACTGGAGAAAAAGCAGATTATGTTGTGATACAGTGGAATGAATGGGACTTTCTTCTCATGAGGAAAAACCTTTTTTTTTCGTAATAATTTAATTTATAGATGAGGAAGGGAGCGAAGCACCTGGAACTGACTCATTGTGAACTCCAGAAATGCAATGAGCTTCCCGAAAAGTCTGCAGTTACCTTGTTTTTTAAGTAAGCACGCAGAGCTGACAGCTATTAACAGTAGCAAGGACTTGCATAACAAGGACTTGAAGGGAGGCTTAGCACTACCCATGCCCGAGCGATTTAAAGAGAATGAAGGCACGTATTTCTTTATGATGCATTATGTAACAACACAGAGGGCAATGGGAGACATTTAAAAAGATACGGGACCCACGTTTGATCTTCCACTTGTTATTTTACAGTGCTTATAGCCTAATGCTTATCAAATGCCTAACTGAGGAATGTGATCCTGCACAAACGAGTGTAAAATGTTTTAGAGGACTTGTTTTATGTCTCGTGCATCTTTAGGAAAACATAATAGGTTCTATAATTCATTTTCTTCAAGGTTCTGCAGTATATGCAATCTCAGATAAAATAAAATTGTCAAAATCAGTGATATCTGGACCTTCTGGTTCACATTAGTGTGAAGGGAAAACTGCTGTTGAGCTGACACATTGATAGATTACGAGTTCTGCTGAAGAATAGCTAAAAATGGTGATTCAATCTTGTCGGTACTATATAAGAAGAATAACAGAAGTGGAAATGTTACTCATGATATCGTGTCTTTTATCAGAGCCCTAACGGGTTCTGGTGCACTGAACACATTCTCCTTCTGAGACCTTCTGGCTTTATAAAATATCAGTGTAAGAGAACGACGCTAAATTTGCCCATTAAAAAAAAAATAGGATGAGCTTGTGCCCCAAATTTATTTAAACATGAAAATAAAGATTGGAAAGTAAAAAGACTGCCTTTTGAGGTGTTGTTTTTTTTTTTCTTTCTTCTTTTTCCCTGCTCATTTTTTACAATAGAGATCCTGGTCTTGTACTGATGAAATGGAGAGCTACAGGATTATGAAACACAAGTAACATGAAGGACAAATCTGACTGAAAGAGATGGAGGATGTTATTCCAGTTATTTTAAACTTAGCCGGGTTAGTTTCTTCACTAACTCGTATCGATACAGCTCCCCTGAAATCAGTACGGTGATACAGATCCATCCAAAGCATATCTGGCACATAAGGTAACGCGTCACCTTCTGTTAGGACACGTAAACATAAACACATGTGGAGAGAAGTCTTTTCTAAAAACCTCACTAATCACTAAATACTCGAAAGTGTACTTTCAGAAGAGGCACCTGAAACATCTCTGCTCTTTTACCCCTGCTTCTCTGCTGATCTCCGCCTCGTGTGGTCATTTACACTGAAACGAAGTCGGGTTTAAACACTGACTTCAGTCCCTCAGTGCTTTATACTTATCTGTGCTGCAGCAGATCAGCAGGAAAGGCTCAAGATGGCAGGGAACCGGGGCCTTGCTGCCTTGCGTCTTCCTCCCCTGGAAAGCACCGACCCTTCCCGGTGCTTATTCCCGAATCATCCAAGAAGTCCTGCAGTAACAGAAGGGGAAACGACACTTCACAACCCTCATCCTCCGCTGGCAGGGAAAACAGGTAAGGAAGGGGGAAACAGAAACGCCGGGGGTGGGTGGGGGGGAGGATTTCTAACTGCAGGCTCCCCTCTCTGGAAGGAAAAGAAACCTTGACAGGAACTTCATTTTGTCACCAGGACACAAGCAGGCAGGCACCTCGCATCTCTGATCCCTCCGTGTGTGCGTGTTTTTGGGGAAGGGTGAGGTATTTTTTATTATTATTTTTTGTTTGTTTTTTATCGGGGCGTCTCTCACGTTATTCACAGCTCCTGTAACCGTGCTCCTTGTAGCGTGGGAATTTTTATTTAAAAATAAATAAAAAAATAATAAAAAAAGGGGGTTTGCTGCCCAGAAAAAACATGACGTCAGCCCGGCTCTCGGTTTGGGGGCCGCTCGGGGCTTGTGTCACCTCCTTGCGACCAAGTTGCCACCAAGCCGGGTCACCTCCCTGCCCACCGCCACCCACCGCCTCCCTCACCCCTGGCTCTGCCTTGTGCAGCCCTCGCCCCGTCCCCATCGGTCCCCATCAGCCCCATCCCCTCAGCGGCCACAGCAGCGGAGCCGCCTCAGGACGGCGGCCGTTGCCCGCGGCGGTTACCTCATGGCGCGAGGCGGGAAGGAGCAGCCGCTGCCCGCCGGGGGAGCTGGGCGGGAAACGGGTGCAAAAAGGGGGGGGGGGGTGAGCAAAGCAAAGCAAAGCAAAGCCCCGTTCCCGCCCGCGGCTGCAACCCCCGGCGCGCGCCGTGCGCACCTGCCCGCCGCGCGCCCCGCGCGCTGTATTTCCCTCCCTTAGCGACAGGGGAGGGGCGCGGCGCCGGCGGCGCTCCCATTGGTGGAGAGCGCGGCGCGGCGCAGCCCATTGGCTGAGGGGAGCCGGCCAATGGGGAGCGCTGTATCCGGGAGGCTGGGAGGACGGGGAGCTATTTCCAGCCGGCTCGGTGACGTCAGCCGGGGCGGCGGTTGGCGGAGCGGGGGGGACCGTTAGGAGCCCTGAGGAGCCCTGAGGTGGGGGCTCAGCGCCTGGGGGAGCCGTCGGCTAAGCCGTGTGGGCAGGCTGCTGGAGGAGAAAGGTGCACAGCCTGCTTGGAAAAGGCTCGTGCGAGTGTTGAAGGAGCGGCTGCTGCCTTAAAGGAGGTCCCGACGCTGCCTCAGTGGTTAAAGCGCGTTAAGCATCTCTCCCTCAAGCTCTGCCTTCACGGGGGCACAGTTCGTCCCTTGGCTGCCACAGGTTTACCTGTAGCCCTCCAAAATCATCTGGTCCAACATCCCCTACCACCAATGTCACCACCAAACCATGTCCCCAAGCACCACATCCAGCCTCTCCTTGAGCACCCCCAGGGACGGTGACTCCACCACCTCCCTGGGCAACCCGTCCCAACACCTGACTGCTCTTTCTGAGCAGAAATGTCTCCTCATTGCCAACCTGAACCTCCCCTGGCACAACTTGAGGCCATTCCCATGTCCTACCCCTGCCACCTATGAGAAGAGGCCAACCCCCAGCTCCCCACACTTCAGGTAGTTATAGGCAGCAATAAGTGTACCAACATACACCAAAGCACACAGTATAGCCACTGCCCAATCTTCCTTTCCCATTTCTGACTCCTGTAATGACAGGGTAGCTCACAGGCAGGACTTTGAGAAGCTGAAACCCGATAGATGCTTCTAGCTGCAAGCGTTCTGTTTGCTATTGTGTTCCCAGCACCGCAATCACAGATGGAGTTGCAATGGTGTTATGTTACAACAGAAGATGATAAGCGAAAACAAAATCCAAATGCACTGGTCTGTCTTGGCAGGAAGTGTCTTGGAATTTGTTCTCCACTTCAATGTGCTGGGGGCCCGTCCCGAAGCTCATCTCATTCAGCCTAATTAGGGCTGAAAAGTTGGGTTAAAACAGAGCTGTCCGACCCAAGTCCTATAACCATCCTGCTTGTGTCCTGATCCTCGCTATATATATATATATAGTGATCCTCACTATACTCAGCAGGGGAAGGTTGACCATGGAAGATGGTTTCTGTGAGGGAAGAGAAAGGCTTGTCAAAGCTTGTGATACCACAGGTGAATTGGATTCCTTCTTCAGGATGTTCTCTCACTGGGAGTCAGATGGAAGGATGCGAGAGCCCTTTTCAGGAACTGACTTGTGCCTTTTCAGTCTCTCTGGCATTTTCTTGCTATTCCCACCCGATTTGGAAAGCTGCTTGCAATAAAGATGAATTTACCACACACAAGGTGGTGTTTATGTATTGTATTTGTCCAGTAATCCCACACGCCAGATTTCCTGTGAGATGCCTGCAAGGCTCAGGAAATATTTTTTTGTTGGTGTCGCTTCTTTCTTTCATTATTATTTTTTTTCCCTTTTTCCAAGCATGTCCCTGGCTGCACGGCTTCTGGAGTGACTTGGGGAAGTGTCAGCTTTCTCCGAGATGTCAGATCAGTGTTAGCAGGAGATGAAAAGCTGGTCGAGAATATTGAAGCTTTTCAATTTTAAACGTGTTTTGTGTGTAAAATCCCTCTTAAATAATTAGCGAGTGCTCTAAGCATCACTGCATATTTTATATTTCATCTGCCTGGAAGAAATGGACAGTTCTGTCGCTACAGATTAACCGCGATTTATTTTGTGATTCTCTGACCGTTGGAAGAGGGACTTCATAGTTTATTACTTTTTCGTCCAATTATTCAAGGAATGGGGCTGGACAGAAGAAGGCTTTAACCACAGCTTTCCTTCTACTCCCAGTCCCAGCAGACATTTGAGTTTAGAGAGAAAAAATCTGCACAAGCTGGAAATGTGAAAAACAGAGAGTGAGTGGCTCAACAGTACAAAGGGATCGCAGTGCTGGATCTTATTGTCTTGGCTGCTGTTGGCTGTAATGGTTTGTTTATTTTACCTTTGACATAGCCTCATCCTGCATTTCGGTGTCGGTTTTTCTTAGTTGGGGGAAAAAATCATCGCTGAATTGCTGTTGGGTGAATTAGTCTCAGGCACCACTGGACACAAATTGTGTTAAAGCATTTGGCACTAAAAGCTGTTCAGATTTAACCTTTTCCTCACAGAAATGGAGTTACTAATGATTGTTTTTAGGGAATGAAGGATAAAATCACCATTTAATTCATTTAGATGATCAGGTTGTTGTCGTTATTGAGGCTCTTTAAACAGATGGCTGTGTCAGAAGTGCGTTCATGGCTCTGCTGCGGACAACTCTGCACATTTCAGAGCTGCAGAAACCAGCAGGCCCCCAAAAGCAACACGAAATAGTAACTGTTCCATCCATTTTCCTAGAAAGCCATTCCGTCCTGTCTTTGAGACAAACTTCTGAGACAGTTTTGTATTTCTAGCATTGCAATTGGCAGCACTACTTCTGGAGGAACAAAATGCTTCGATTTTGCTTCACTAGCAACAAGAATCTCATGAAGCCTTTAGAAAAGTCTCTTCCAGCTCGCCAGAGACAGACATGTAGGACACTGGTGACCATCTGGGGTTGTGAAGAGGATGGACTGCAGAGGTACTCAGATCTGCTGAAAGGCCAGGTCACCAGTCAGGCCAACTGGGATGGCAGGGAAAAGATCAAGGACTCACAGAAAGCTGATTCTCTACTTCGGTGACCAAACTGTTGAAACGCTCGTTTTCTTGCAGCCTCACCATGATTGGCAAGAGCTATTCCAGAACATTGCAGAGACTGATGCTGATGGAAATGACATGCAGACATGCTTCACCATTTATGCTGCTCAGTTGCCGTTGAGTATGGCAAGTTCTTGTGTGCTCAAGTGCAGGGAGCAGAATAAAATAGACCAATCTATGAAGACTGGAGGGGTTATTTAACATCAGGAGGATTGGGGGAATTAAATATATATATATATATTAATCAGCATTTCAAAAATTGTCTTGAATTATAACTTTCCTGTTGCAGTACAGCTGTCTGACTAGTATTTTGGTATTTTGTTTGCCAGTAGCTTGGGACCAGATATCAAAAGGTGGTAACACCAAAGGGGGCTATAATAATGTGTTCAAAATAACAGAAGGAGGAATTCTGTGTAGTATTTCCTAAGGCAGTGTAAAATTTTACTCAATTCTTTAATGAAAGCTATCTATGCAGATATAACAGTCTGTTTCTTAACTATTGGCCTGTTTGGGAATCTACTTTCGTATTTAGAACAAAGCCAAGCACGATGTGGTATCATGTCAGTAAGTAGTGTTAATCTATGCATAATTTACAATAAAGGGCAGGAAACTTGAGAGGAATGTCCTTTTACAGCCCCATATAATGAACAGGGAAGCATGTCAGCTTATTTTCCCAGTATGTGGATTGTTTTCAAGTTTTAAAAGTTTTTAAAACCCTTTAATGTGTCTTCCTTACCCCCTCAACCCTGAAAAATAGTCTCTTCAATAGCTAGCGTAGAATTTCAGTCTGGAGATGACTGTTACAGTAAATACCAGCATGTCACTTAATACAAAGTCTTGCCAAAAATTTCTGCAATAAAACCCACATCCTGTACGTATTCATATTTATCTATCGGTACTAGAGTATAATCTAGGCAGGGCTTAAGCATCGCATTTCAAAAAAGGAAATCCGTGTAAACCACTCATTACCTCTTCATCATCTGAGCACATGCAGACGCTATCATCCCTGTGACACCTCTCTAATCCTATGTGGAACGGCTTCATGAAGACAGATGCATCTTTAGCGTACATGGAGACTACTGAGTTCGAAGCAGAGCTACTTCCAGGCAAGAATGCAAACCAGCAGAGAGGGTTATTGCCCACCTCTTGCTTAACAGTCAGACAGCAGAGGTCTTGCCAATGAAATCAGCTTTTCAGGGCTCTCAGACAATCCCCATTTACTGGATGAGAGAGCTCACCTTAGTGGCATGAGTGGAAGCATGGAGAGCTGAGCTATGTCATCTGCCATGCTTGCAGGGGACTGTTTGCCTTTCCACAAACACTTAAGATGCAATATTCCCCTGGTGTCTCTGAAATTCCAGTTTTGGAGTAAGGAAGGGGATTAATGTTAACACAAGAACTGCAGGCATGTCTGACTCCGAGGTAGACAGAAAGAGGAAAATTTCCTTAGTGCTGTCTCTTTAGGCTTTCTTTAATTTCTGACATTAAAATGTACGTCTTTGCTCCTGTGCACATACTGTACCTCAACTTCCCTTGCATCCTTGGAAAAATTACTTTGCTAGCAGTTGTAAGTCACACAGTGCTTTTTCAGTGGCTATAATTCAGCACGCAGAAGAAGTGCGTATCAAATTTATGGGCTGAAATGGAATCGTCAGCTATTCACGAGGCAACACCGGCAAGAAGGATGGCTTATGGCTTCTTGTCCTGAGCAATCCACAACTTCAAGCAACTACTGGGTTAACTTGTCTTTACAGAGAGCAAAAGCCCCTGGGGGAACGGGGGAATCCAGCATTACTTATCTGTTTAAGAGCTGCCTCTGTGTGTTTGAGTGGTGTCTTGTTTTGTTTTTCCAAGGGGATCATAACTCATTTGCATAAACAGTTCCTAGTCCATAATGAATATACATACCGGGGTTTATAATAGATAAGTAAAGAAGATTTTATGAGACAGCAAAGCACGCAGTAGTAGAAGGGAGAAGAAGTACCCTTTTCATGCTGGCTGGCAAGAATAATCTCTTAGAGTAGACTATAGCTGGAATTTGTAAGTTATCCAAGTATTCATATGAAAATTTAAACAAACAAATAGGCATTTATGGGCACACTGGTGTTAGAAGTGCTGTGGTATACTGCCTTTGTGCATTGCATTCAATATCTAATAGGTAACGTACAGGGCCAAAGTGCACAGTGCTTGTAAAAATGTTATTAAAGAATGCACCACATTAGGCTGCTGGAGAAAATAAGAAACAACGTGGTCTTAATCGTTCGCATGGATCTGGCATGACTTCTTCCAGGATAAGAAGAACAAGGATTCTTAAGTAGAAACTGGGTCTGGTGGCGAGTCAGCTGCTACTCGGAAAAAAAAAAAAAAAGAGTGAAACTCTCTATGGTATCCTTAGCAAAAGAAGGAGATTTAGGATATTATGGTCTGTTGCAGAGAGCTAAGGGCACATGCTACTCTTTAAACTCATTTACCAGTAAATGAGCTCTGATAAGATGTTGGAGAGATACAACCATGTTGTAGGTGTGGGTGGAAAGAAGATGCACGGAAAAACAAGCTGGTTGGGTATATGGAGAAGCATGTTGCTGGGAAATCTTGTGAGAAACTTCCAACTTGCTGACATGTTGTGTATAAACTCGTGTCACATGCTGTTGATTAGGCAGAATTCAAATGCTGAAGAGACAGAAGAGTGGCAGAGTCCCCGGCTTTGTGTGATGGCTGAGCAGCCCAGCGTGGAACAGTTAATCTCTTGCTAACTTTTTGTTTGTTGTGACTGCTTGGTGCTGTTTCACGGCAATTTGAAGGTTATTTGATGGACTCTGGGGAAGGGAACCTGAGTGGCATAGACAATTGGAGTGGATACTGCAACAACTGGAGGATGTGAGGGAGTGCAAAGAGGGATCAGAGATGTACCATTCTGGCCTAATGTGGGAAATTTGAGGCATGTACCAGTGCTGTTTGCTTAGCATGGCAGGCACCATTATCTAATTATTTCATCTGTCATATTTCTACAAGTGATGTGCAAGCCATACTGCAACATGGAGACAAGCACTGAAAGCAGTTCAGCTGCTACAGTCTGCAGATGCTGATGCCTGTGGTTGCTCATGACCTGGTATGTGGGGAGGAAGCTTAGTAAAGAAGAGGAGAGCCTCAATACATTTGGTTCTGTGGTTCAAACAGCTGTAGCTGTCAAACAATAGTGTTTCTGGTTTCAGAGTTTGCTTGGGTTCAAGTTCTTCAGACCAAGCTTTCCCAGTGATGGTGCCATTAGGAATTTGCAGCGTAAAGCTCCTTGGCAGCAGCTGCCCTTTTTTTCAGTTTCTGCAGCAGTAGAGCAGGTTCCAAGGAGTGGGAGGGGAAATTGCAGGGAAAATTTGCAAGACACCTGAGACAGGTGTGGAGGGATGGGGAGGGGATCTGGGAAAAGCCAGAGGGGTTTCACAGGTCTGTGACAAACTTGGGGGTGGCGGGACTCAGTCTCTTTCTCCTATATTAGCCTGCACCCATCTCTTCCTCCCCAGGGGTGGCTCCTCATGTTCTTGGAGTTCCCAGCTTGTTTCCAAAGCCCACAGCTGTCTCCTTCCCCCCTTATAGCTGTCTTTCTCTATCAACTCAACTTTGCCCAGAAAACAAAACAAAACAAAACACCTCCTCATGGCTTTGCTGTAGCTTCTAATTATTCCCTCCCTAAAAGAAAAGGATGCCAGGAGCGACTCCTGCTACAAAGCAAAGAGGAGGCAGAAGGTGGGTAAGGGCCATTTAGGCCAGAACAACAGGACGCAGGCAAAGTCATTGCAGTCTTCAGCTGCTCCTGCCTTGCCTTGGCCAACTGAATTGATGTCACTCGAGTCATTGAGCTGATGTCAGAGGCCCGATCTGACCTTAATTTTGTTGCTGTGCACAGAATATCCCAGTTGGAAAGGACCCACAAGGAGTCATCAGCTCCACCCAGTTTGGTATTGTCCTCAAACTTGCTCAGAAAACCTTCAAGTCCTTCAGTCAAACCATTTATGAAAACACTGAAGAGGCCTAGTCCTAAAATGGAGCCCTGGGGAACCCCAGTGACAGGCCACCAGCCTGATGTAACCCCATCTACAAGAACCCTCCAGGTCTGACCTGTCAGCCAATTGTTCACCCATCTTATGCTTTTAGCTAACTGTATCCTGGTCAGTTCATCCACAAGGATACCGTGAGAGATGGTATTGAAAGCTTTACTGAAATCCAG